TTTTTTTCTCTTTTTTACTTTACCACGATCTAGTTTTCGATGATATGCCACTGTTATACGTCGTGCATGCCGTCTTAAAACGAATACCATCGCTTTTACTTTCAGAAAAGGGAGGCAGATGAGCACTGCAGGATTCTGAAGTCTGCTTCTTCAGTGCCGTCGGTAGGAAGTGAGTATCTCTTGCGCAGTACGAGCTTCAACTTCCTTCTCACTAATATCGAAATTTGTGGTTCTTTATGATGAGTTTAATCTGAGAAGCTTTTTCAAGTCGATAGTGGGATTGCTTTTGGCAGAAAGTACTGCCTAGATATTCTACTCTCTCTACATACGACAGTACTGAAAGTAGCAGACTTACTTCAGAATCCTGTATGATCCCTCATCTGGCTCAGCTATCTGTAAATAAAAGCGATAGAATTTGAGATATAAGTTTTGAAACGGCATGCGCGACGTATAAAGGTGAAAAATCATCAAAACTCAGACCGTTCACGAAGCTAAGAAGAAAAAACATTAGAATATGACAAACAAGCAGTTCGGCGTCAGATTTCAGCCGTATTGCGCACCTGGTGTAAGTACGGCACGGCGGGTTCTAAAGCCTCTTACGGGATTTCAAAGTAGTGTGCACTAACACACATCGCACCGAGGTGACTAAACAGATGACGTCTACTATACCTCCTAGACAACAGATTGCAATTCTGCAGGAAGGTACTTCAGCTTCTGTTCAATGCATGAGAAGTAGACGATAACGAGAAAGAGAAAGGTGAATGCTGTGCAGATGACGCTGCTACGACCCCCTTTCTGGATGCGTCATGTGGAGGTAAGGTGAGTCAGTCTCACAATGCCATGTTTTTGTTAAAAGTCTACTAAATAGGTTCATTTGCAAAATTCATCTTCCTCGTTACGAGCAAAATCTGACTAGATTCAATCATTTGTCAGCGTCATTGTAGGCATGATGATCATTCACACACATGGTGAGAGGAACAGAGTACAGCAGATATTAGGAACTGTGGGTCTATTCTGGCTACGTCAAAACCGTGATAGACTATCAAAGCTTTTTGCAATTTCAAACACTCACATTGCATATTTACTACTTTGCAAAAACGATCGAGGACGCTCTATGTACAGCTTGGATGCCTTGGTCGCCGACGGCGACTACAGCGTGTATGACTTGCAGCCCGACCGACGAAGCGTAGACGTTGCCATAAATGGTGTTTGCAATGACACCATCGAAGTCCAAGCTGTTTACACGATCAACGGCAATGAATGTCAGAACTCAAATAATCTTCGCGCAGTCAAAACAAGAACTGGAAAGACTACTGCCTATTCGCAGCTCAAGAATGGTGCAGGACTTCGAAAATGTCTCGATCATCGCAGCCAGAAAGGTGTTCCCGAATGTCTCAGTAAAAGGACGTGGGTTCCACCTAGCAATGGCGTGAAATAGGATGAAGGGCACCTAGGTCTGGAAGAGTACACGAAAAGTATCATAGAACCGTTTTGAATAGGACTAATGAATTGAAGATGCCCATTACAGGAGATGAACGGGACCAAGGCATCAAGTGGTGGAACACTGTAAAGAGAGCCATATTTTTGCACAAGCACTTGCACAAGAGACTACCTGCTCCCCACAGCCGTAGTCTATCAGAAACACATGAGGCCTATTCCATGTGCCGCCGCAATTCTGAAATATCTGAATCCACCTCGAATAAGGGGCCATTTGCGGCCACGAATAAGCGGCTTGTAGGAGCCCGTACCACCAATGCTGCAGGTCTTCGACAGCTATCTTACCAAAGTGGCTAGGTGGTCCTCGGATTCCCCAGTCTTGTGCTAATTGAGGCTTTGTCGAAACGGAAGCGCCAAAACGTTAACAAATAAAAAAGTGAAGTTTATCAATCAAATCACCTTCGAGTCCACCATGCCAAAGTTAAGAGAACGCAACGAGACAGCCGACCGTGGACATGTCTAGATTCGTAACAAATAAATCACAGTGAATGCACGAACAATTGTGAATAGCACCTAAGCCCTCCTTTTTAGTTTGTTCTTTTTTTATGCACTGCACAAATTGGATAAAAAAAGCTAAGGTAACGATAAATAATGTCCCTCATTCGCTGAGGTGCCTTCCTGATGGAAGCAGATTCCTGCAAATAAGCAACCGGATCTGCTCGCATACATGTGGCAGGAAATCGTCAAGGGTAGGCTCTTACTGATGCATTTGCCTGAGTATATTCTTGTTTCCTCACCCTGGGATAGAATCCACAGAGCGAACGTAGGTTTGCAGTAAGCATGGAAGCATGAATAAGGGGCAGTTATGCACGATGCACGGTGATTGCACAGGCAAGACTACAATTTCGTTGCTTCCATTCATCGAATAACTTATATTGCAGATATTCTCCTTTTCGCCATAAAAAGAAGCAAGCGCGAACATGACTATGTGTATATATTATATATTGATTTGATAGACTGAAGACTGCAATACAGGAAGCCACCAGAAATCAACTATTGGAGCTAAATCCTCGGCTTTATGCTGCAATGCAGCAACAAGGGTATTTCAAAGCCTTCCTCTGGTAGATGTGTGGCATCTAACCCAAGCTGGGTCTGGAGAGAATTACTCTTGAAATGCTCCAATTTCTCCAAGGCAGTAAAAAGCGTGAATCTGCGGTGCGCTGTCTCAGACTTTGAGAGCTCCCTTTTCTGCCGACTGATATTTCCACTCGTGACCTCAAGGCCCATTCGAAGAGCGAGGATACCCGGCGTGTGTACCGTGCAAGAAGTTTTCAAATTATGTACGCAATACATTTCGGAGTATCGAAATTATATGGTGTAAGTGTATGGTTGGGGTATGGACAACAATTTGCTCTGAAAACTAGCACTCCTTAGTTTGAAGATCATATATTATTAGGTCCTTATTAATATATTACTGCTGAGTAGCTAAGAAAAAGTTGGAAAAGTACCCATCACTGGCCTGCTCGTTTAGTCTGTGGCTTCACTTGCGTTGCAAAAGGCGCGCTGGCAAGGATGAATATTATACTCAGCGGATTGTTTTTCGAGTGTTCGAATATCGAGTAGTATTCGAAAACT